GGCACCGCCCGCGGGGCTGTCGTCCCCGCGCCGGCCGACGGGATTCCGGCGGCCACAGCGCCCTCCTCAGCCGGCGGTGGGTAGCGCAGGGCGATGAGCCTGCAAACCCCTCAGGATCCAAAGAGCACACGGGTCACGGAAAGAATCAAAGCGAAATCCCGCCCCTCCGTTTCCTTGCGCGGTTCTTCGGGCAGTTTTCAAGGGCCTACACTCTCTTTTGCTGTACTTGTATTTTTTTCTTTTTAAGCTTGCAAACTGATTTTTTGAGGGCTTTTTTTTTGTATCATTGATTGCATATGTATTTAAATATATAAGTACCTACTTGTACATATATGCGTGTCCTCTATTTTATATAAAAGCACCACACTAGATACATATATTCTTCAATCTATCTTACATGCTGATTTTCCTGGTCAATTTATGCAAACAGCCTTTCTAGTCTTTCTAATGGCTGCAAAGTACTCCGCTGATCATAAGTACCACCATTTACATAATCTGCCCAATACTAATTAACTTTCAGTTGTTTTCAATTTTCTGTCCCCCTTAAAGACAGGCTGCAATGTGAACATCCCTACACATGTATACACTTATAACTAAATTCCTAGTACAATAGCTGGGATGAAGGATATGCAAACCTAAAATTTTATGATATACCGCCTAACTACTCTCCAAAAATATTGTATCAACCTACCTTCCCACTCCTAGTGAAACCTCTTTTGGGTTCCTGTCATGTGCCAGGTATCACGCTAGAGGTGGACAAGTACGTATTTACATTTTAGAAAGTATCAAGAAATAACAGAGCGGTGAGAATGAAGCTTGAGTCAGAAATCTGCACACACAGGAGCAGGCATAAGGATCTGTACTTGTTAGAAAAACTCTGAATTCTGCCACAGCGGGACACACAGTACGTCTGAAGGCAGAGTAGAGTACTAAATGCCAGATTAAACTATAGGAAATCATAATACTGAATTATTTTTCTAATTTCTGAAAGCACCTTATCACATACACTGTTACTGTTCTTTGCAACCACTTAGAGCTGGGAAAACAGTCAGAGAAGTCAGGGTTATTAATGAATGAGTGAATCAATGAATCAATGAATGGGTAAAAAGACCACTAGCTTTAACATTACTGGAACAGTCATATTCTGACCAAGTTTAAATCCACAAGCATTTACAGTTTTAATTATAATAATTAAAAGGGGTCAATGTTAGTAAATTGCTATTTGGAAAAGGAAGAGACATAAATTAGCCTAGCATGGTTTGCAAAGTTACGATTAGGCAATTCAAATTTGGTGCTAAATACTCTTTTAGAATTCATGAAAATATACCCTTTTAGAATAAAATCATAACATATTAGAATTCACGAAAAAGATAACCAATAGGCATGTAGAGCCAAAAAGAACAAATGGTACAAATATCTACAGACATGACAATATACAAACTGTGACACAAATCTATCAGAAACTGGAAAAACTATTGATCCTGCACTTGCAGTTTGCTAAAAGACAAAGCTCGAAGTAGAAACAAACTCAGTTACAGCTGACACAAGAAAATCCAGACTGAGGCATAACCGGGTTTCCAGAAAGTATGTGAACTAACAAAGACTGGGTCTTTGGATGGGACTGCCTTCAACATGAGGTAAAACAACGCCTTAATAGGTATGCAGTGGAACAGAAAATACAGGAATGAGGGATATCTGGAGCACTGAACAACCAGATAATTGACACTAACAAACAAAATCTACTGGTATCTGGTAGGGCCCCCAGGTGCCAAACCCCAGGGGCTTAAGGGGATTCCAGTCTTTAATCAAATCAAAAAGTGACAATGGAGAGAGTAAAGAACAGGATCAGGGGTGGATGGACTTGTTACGTTATATACCAAGACACTCCCCGTTATCCCGAAGAGTACGAAATACAGGAGGTGGGCCTCTGGGACAAGGCAATACGTAACCGTAAAAATAAGTCTTTAGGTCAGGGTAGGGCTTAATGCTAAGGAGAGGCCAGAGCAGAAGGCTGTGAAGAGATGGGCTCAGTAAGAACGTGGGAATGCTGCCAAATACACCTTTTCGGGGAAAGTACAGTTTATCATTGAGAGGGAAAAGGAAATGGAAATTGCTGACAACTCTGGCTACATAATGTAAGAGCTCATATTAGTGTTGTTGCCACTTTGGTTACCAGCTGTAGATAGATATGTTTCCACACATACATAGATATAAGTATCCATACGTAGATAGATACATATAAGATTCCACACGTAGTTAGATAGATATGTTTCCACATGTACATAGATAGAAGTTTCTCTATTTATTCTGAAAGATTTTAAGGCAATAAATGTAATAGAATTAATAGATGAGTAACAAAGAAGCCTTTTGAGTTTTGATATGCTTTCAACTGTGGTTTCTCTTTAGTGGGAGTGAGAATGAAAGCCTGTATGAGAAAAACAGACCTGCAAGCTGGACGGCACATCAGGGAAAAGAGATAAGACCTGGGGAGGGAGGAAGGAACTCGGCCCAGGGTCGGGAAGGCCAAAGCGCGGAGAGAGGTTACAGGTTTATAAAAAGGAGCCGGTGTGTGGGAAATGGCAGAACTCAGAAGCACGTCGGGGCTAAGAATCAGAGTTAACCTTTGAATAGTTGAAGATGGCAGGAGATGTGTCTAGGTTAACCAGGAGAAATGTAAAAAGTCTCTCATGAGGGCTGACATCATGTCTCATGACCACCAGGTAAGTATTTTAGAAAACAAGGGATTCAGGACACAACTCCAAAACTTTGGGCTGCCTAATCCATGTATGATTATGGACGGGAGAGGTGAGTACAAATCAGAGAAGAATCTGCCAGATGAATGGCAGGAGCTCAGAGTTATCCTGGGGGCAGCTGATAACGGGGGCTGAGCCCAGCGAACTTCTGCAGCAGGAGGCCCACCCAGAGCAGGGCCTGGGATTTAATCACCATTTACTCAACACCTGCAGACCAGGATCGAGACCACACTACTGTCTGTGTCACTGTGCCACTTCAGGAATGGACTGAGTTCACATTGCATGGGGAGTGCAAGGCCTTAATTTGAGGCCTATATGCCTCCGAAGTCCTTGGCATTTCACGGGCCCTTATGCGGCCAACCTGGCTTTCAGAGCACAGCACCCGGAGCTTCATGGCGGACCAGATGAAACTTCGGGATGAGCCTAAGTGTTGACTTGACAGGAACGTTCCTCCTCTCTGCCCTAGTGTATGCAGTCTGCTCTAAACATCACTAACCACCTAAGCTCACAAGAAATATCTCCCTGGAAGCATCCACTTCTTCCAGGTGTGAGCGATGGGAGTGTGTGCGTGCTGGGTTCCCCTGCCACCAACTGGAGGCCCAAAGCTCAGGATGGTCCAGAGGTGGCTACTTAGGGAGGGTGCAGGACTAGACAGGAAAGGGAATGGAGTGGGGAGAGGGGGAGAGGAGAACAGCAGGTAATCACCCTGGGAAAATCGGTAATTTATATTATAAAAGTTATTGAGATATAATTCACATAACATAAAATTCACCTCTAGAGACTTTAGTAAAATCAGTGGCATTCAGCACATTCACAAGCTTGTGCAACCGTCATCATTATCTAACCCATAGCATTTTCATCTTTCCCCAAAGAACCCCTCTTACACGTTAGCAGGCACTCCTCATTCCCTCCTCTCTACACCCTGGCAGTCTCTACTCTGTTTTCTCTGTGTGGATTTGCTTGTATGGACATTTCATATATATGAAACAATACAGTATGTGACTTTTGTGTCTGGCTTCTTTCATTAGCCTCATGTTTTCAAAATTCATCCATGTTGTACCATATGTCAGTAGTTCATTCCTTTTTATGACTGTATAATACCTTATTGTGTGGCTCTACCACATTTGTTTATCCATTCATCTGCCGATGGACATTTGGGTTGTCTCCACTAGTAAATACATTTATTGAGAGTTTATGCTGTGCCAGGCAACACCAGGCTAAGTTATTCACCCCATTTCACAGATAAGGAGATAAGCCTGGAGAGCGTGGAGGATTTGCCCAAGTTTGAACTGGTAACGGAAGGAGCTGGGGTTTGAACTCAGGCATCAGACTTGAGAGGTAGTAGATTCGTGTGATAGAGCATTAGAAAGTAACAAAAGGGAATCAATGGAAAGTCACCCTTTTCCCCAAGTTCCTCAGCCACCTATTTCCCTGCTTCCTTAGAGAGACATCGACTTTTGCCACACTGCGGATCCTTCCTGTGAAACTATTTATACCCTAATGTGTGTGCATCACAACTTACTGATTGACTCACGGTCCCACTGATTTGAAATGTCACTTTATGGTATACTGAATTCTTGCATGTATTTGCATTACTCTTTTCAGAATTGTCCTTTTTTTGTCAATCCTTTTAGATTGCCATTTCCCTAAAAGCCTTTTTATCTTTTTTAAACATTTCCTTCCTTTCTTGTTTGTTTTTCTCAGGTATTATCCATTATGTTCATTCATTCTTGCATTATTTTTAATTTAGCCTTCAATTCTGAAAATTTTTGAAATGTTTCAATTCAGTCCTTAGTTCTATCATCTTGTCTAATTCTGATTTATCTTCTTTCATTTTTTTTTATTATGGCAAAATCTACGTAACACAAAATTTACCATTTTAACCATTTTAAAGTGTACAATAGTGGCATTAAGTACGGTCACAATATTGTGCTACCATCACCACTGTCCAAATTTAAAATGATTATGTCAAAAGATGGAGCAGGACTGCAGAAAGATGGGAGGCAGCAGCATAGTTTTTGGATCGCTCCAAACCCTCTCATGGAAATAGGTTGAGCAATACCAAACATTCGTGGGTAGCAGTTATTGTTTCCAGAACTTCTTCATCATCACAAACAGGAACTCTGTGCCCACTAAATTTAAAAAAATTTTTTTTTTTAAGTAAGAAAGCATGGTGGCTTGCTTTCTGAGGTTTCCTGGCTCTGCTCTCCTCCCCAGCTCTCATCAAGACATTTCCCTTTGTGTCAGGTGTTCCTCCGAGAAGCTTCTCCTCTATGTGGGCCACAGCCTGGAAAGGAGCTCTGGCCGCTCAGGTTCCAGATGTAGAGGGGCTGGACTACTCCAGCTCTGTGGACTCTGTCCCGGGTCCCTTGGACTTAACTCACTCTGCGATTGGAGAAACCTCCCCTAGTCTCTGCTGCTGCTCTCAAATTGGCCCACAGAGCTTCCCAGTGGCTACCTGCTGGCACTTTGTAGGCCTCCTGGCCTCATGCCCATCCTCCCGCCTGCCACTTCTTCTGGAGCAGACACCGAGGCTCCAGGTAGGTCTGTGGCTGGTGGTGGTGGTCAGCCCCACCCTCATGTTTGGGATTCCTGATTTCACGGTAAGTGCTGCCCATGGGTGTTGGGTTTTGGTTGATCTATTTCCATGGGATGGTTTGGGGAGATTCAAAACCTATGCCCCTGATTCCATCCTTCCGGAATTCCACTCCATCATTTGACGTTCTTATTTCACCCTGGAGGCCCTGTGATTTTCAGTCCCCCAAAGCAGAGCTCCTTGTGCCCTCTCCTGTTAGGACTCTGGGTCAGATGAGGCCTTCTGAGTCTCCTCTGCTTACATGGCACCTCATGTCTGCATTTGCTCAGTCCATGTTGTGAAGAAGTCAAAACAAAACAACATAACTAGCTCAAGAGTGGAGGGACATCTGGCCATCACAAGGGGTGGCATAAACCTGTGGGTATATGGGGGGTCTGGAAAAAACTGTGTCTTTGCCCTCCCTCTTTTATGTCTCCTGTATCTACTTTCCTAAACATGTACAATATGGAATCTTCAATCTGTCCTCCTCCCCAGCAAAAAACCTGGTCGGTGTTCAGTTTTCTTCATGTCAGTTCATGGTAATCCTTTTTTGAAATTGCTCAGGCCACAAACATTTAAAGTCATTTGACTCCTCTCTCTCCCTCTCAACCACACATCCAGAACATCAGCAAATTCCATCTGCCTGACATTCCAATTATTCTCAGAACTTTCCCACATCCAATCACTTTGCTCCCCCATCCTCTCTAGTTCATGCCCCCATCATTTTCTACCTGAACTACTGGGAGAGCCTCCTACCTCAGAGGTTCCCCAACTTTCTAGATTCACAGAGCCTTTGGTGTTTCAACTCTAGGCTAAAAGAAATACTCTGTAGTTCCATTTATTAAGTAGTTAGCTGCCAACAAGCTAACAAGTATTTATGATTGTAGTAGGCTGGGTAATGGCCACTTGAAGAGATCAGGTCCTAATCTCTGAAACCTATAATATCTCTACCTTATTTAGAAAAAGGGCTTTTGCATCTTGATTAAATTAAGGATCTTGAGATGGGGAAGCTATCCTGGATTATTAGGATGACCCCTAAATGCAACCACATGTCCTTATGAAATGGAGACAGAAGTAAATCTGATACAGACAGAAAGGAGAAGGCAATGTGAACGTGTAGGCAAAGACTGGAGTGTTGCAGTCACCGGACAAGCAATGCCAGCAGCCACCAGAACCTGGAAGAGGCAAAGAATGAACTCTCCCCGGA